ATCCCTGTCAATCGAAGAGGGGCGCCTAATTACGTGATAGTACGTTGTTTGAACCCAAAACCACAGCCCATCCTTCGAATTGAGCGGGAATTGGACCAACACCCTCTCCGCAGTAGGAAGCCCGCTGAATATGGTCTAGCGAATGAGCAGTTATCTTGCAAAAATCTTGACTGTTATCGACAGGGATTGTCTTATTTCAGGCTATCATATTTCTTCGTCTATGATAGTAGATTTGAAATAGGCCATGTGGACTGAAGTACTTCCATTTCTCGCAAAGAATAAGAGGGTTTGAGACCAACCATCAACCCGGCGACCGTAACATTTAAATTGCCATTTGACGCTGTCTTGCGTTCAGTGGTCGGGTGCGGTCGGATTTGCAACATCATAAACTATGTTTCGAGAAAGATGGGGGTAGTTTGTGAATATCACCTCGCGGCACTTGCTTGAGGATCGCCCCAGCTTTTACCAAACAAAACGGACTGTTCCTCTTGGCCTAAAGTCTGCCTCTGGTATACTGTATTGTTAGTTACTGTGGCAGTCCCCGTCGATCAAAAGATTCCTTTAGTCGCTACATGTCAACTTTCGTATGCGCTTACAAGTCTCCGGCACGCTCCAATTCGCCTCCTCGAGTGATGCAGAGTGAGGCTGTGGTGTTTTCCTTCTACTTCAGCTTTGTTATTGACACAATGCTCGAATTGTGTTTACTTATTTCTGACATGTTGAAATTTGAAATACTTTCCGGACGCAAGTTCACAGGCACTGAGTACACTGACGATTAGATCCCCCAGAAATGCAGGTCCTTGTAACTTAGCTAATAACTTGGTGTACGATTAACGCCGAAGAGTGAATTGCCCCTCCAAACTGAGAGGGGTCGAACCCAAGCAATATATTCGCCTGTCAGGCAGTTACTAGTCCTGAAACTACCTTTCTCAATAAGGAGGCCAGGACAGATTTTTCAGGCTCCGGAACCTTGGCCGTGTGTTGTAACCAAGTTTGTTAATGGCATTTTGAAGATTCATACTGCTTTCCGTCTAGAAACGTGACAGATGAGTGCCTAAGATTCCAGAGTGCTCTCACCATCTCGGGATAAGTGCCCGGGCCGCATTTACAGTAACGAGATGTTATTCCAGAAAAGGACGCCTTCGATAGGTGACCAACTTAGGTTGCATAGGTTGCGCCAGTTCTTGAGTTTACGCCACTTGGTAGGCAACCCTCCCTCACCGAGCCCTCTGCACAGTCACGCGAAAAGCGGAAACGGTTTTGAGACGGTCCGTCAAAGACTTGACCAAGAAGTATGAGTGACAGGACCAGTAAATCCAGTCTTTTCGGCACCGCGAACCTCCCAAACGGTGATCATTGTTTCATGTGCATATCTGACCGAAGTGTCCAGTCATATGCGCTATTTTTCTATTTCCCATTCTACCATGCTACTTTACTACGTCCTTCATTTTTCGGGATGGTTCTGGTCAATCAACTTCATTTATTTCCAAAACAGTTTACCATCCAGAAGGCTTTCGTTTTTGTTTAGTTGCTGCGCGCGTTCTGAAACTTTCGTTCAACGACATTGGCCTTATCGAACCAACCAACAGGAATTATGTTTTTTGGTAATGGATTCGAACCCATATCCAGTATCTTATGGCGAGATGGCTCAGTGGATGGAGCGCGAATTTACTGGCCGGTAGGTCCGTGGTTCGAACCCGACATCCGCATCTCGACTTCCTCTGTCTAGGCTTGGGCAACCTGGCAGTATCTCAGCCGCCGTGCTTTCTTTGGGTGGCTTGGTAGCTAGGCACCGAAAGGGTGTTACAACTGAACGATTATCTTCATCTTTTCTACCGCGTTTTCACACTCAACTTCGATAATAGATTGTATTACTCGAAAGCAGGGACCCGAACGAAGAACTGGAAAACATGAGGTAACGAGGTCAGTTCTCGTCGGCCCAAAGAATTTGTTTCATGCTGCATAAACATGAGATGTTCTTTTACGGTTCTCCCGCTTTGACAATTACTCCTTCATCAGCTCTTCTTTGCTTATCGCCTGTCAGTTTGTTGTATTGTTGGGCCCATTCTGCATAATCACTCGACGGGGGCGATATGGTTAGAGCGCGAATTTACTGACCGGGAGGTCCGTAGTTCGAACCCGACCTCCGCCTCTCGAATTCCTCTGTCTAGGCTTGGGCAAGCTGGCAGCCTCCCAGCCATCATGCTTCCTTCGGGTGGCATGGCAGCCGGGTACCGAAGGGGTGTTACAGCTGAACGATTACTATTAATGACTCGATGGACAAGGAGCCTCGATCTTTTTTGTCTTTCAACTTATGCAGATGTTTTTACACCTAACAGTGCATTTGTCCTCCATCTACTGCAGTGTCCAGTCATGAGAAGAGTGAACCGGATGCACCGTGACTTGTGATCCTCACATGTTGCCATCCGCTGTTAAGCTCAAAACAGGGTGAGACGCATAGCTCCGTAACAACGCGTACGTTGTGGCTACACAAATAAAATGGAGAGTTGGTAGGTAAGGACTGATAAGAATAGACTTTACTACCCTAATGTCGGGCATGTCTGACCGAAAACAACTACCCCGGTAGATTCATTGAATTCAGGAGCTTCCACCGTCCCGAAGAGTAAAGGCCCTCCAGCAATTCGGAACTACCAAAAGCTTATTACAGCCGCCCAGGCGTAAGCTTGATTTCGTTCGCGACTGACATCGGCGTCCATTCTTTCCATAGCATTTATAAAACTGATGATCATACGCGATGGATGGGTTAGTCTTTGCGCTGGTATTTGATGCATCGATCTAATGGTCATCGTCCATCGTGTGTTAGGACATTGTCCCGAGTGTTGTAGGTCAGCCGTAGCTGCGTTCCAGAATATGAGAACATTCACACCAATTTGGTTCCAACAGGAGGATGCAGCTGAATCTCTCATTCGTGATATTCTCCAATTAAATGTACTGCACAATGGTCGCCCCAAATTTCTGTTGGTGCGATATTCGAGATATCGCACTATACTTTGACAATTTACTCATGGGTTTCTGAGACCCATTTGCCAGTCCACAGCCGGTTTCGCCCTTCTTGGGGCTCATCAGGTAGCCGCAGTCTCCGACCCAAGTTTACGTCAACCTTTGGCTCTAGTTGAAATTAACTTGCACGAAATTAGCGAAGGACAATCGTTGGTTCATGCAGTCTATTGCCTATGGTTATGGTACTGGCGTTCTCAGGCTCGTTGGCGCAGTATGATCAACTTTGGAAGTGCAAATCTTTTTCATAATGACGAGCAGTCTTTCCCTTGTCGAGGTTACTGTCTGTCGACCTTCCCTTGTTCACGCGGTAGCCATTGTGACTAGGAAGACATCCAGCGGTCTAACTCCTGTTGACAGGCAATTAAGTGTGCGATGCTAGCCAGCAGCAGAGAACGCCTAATCTTGGGCGGTCGATTTCTGAAGAAGTGTCGGAAGTCCCCTGAAGGTTTTCTAGAAATCAAAGCTCGAGTAAGGGATACGTGGCTGTCTGAGTCAACTTATTAGGCCTTCTATCGTAACACGGACGGCCTCTACCGAGACTGATTAAACGCTCTCGGGGGCTCACAAAAAGATTGCACGAAATCTTCCAACGTTGAGTTGCACACTCGCCTCGAATACTTGCTGATTATTTGGCAATTTATCCGGACGCAACTTTCGAGGCAGTACTTCGCCAATTACCTCACTCGGGCGCGCCACAGGTTCAACAAGATTTACACGCCATTGCAAATGGGATGCATCCACACAATGGCCGTTTTAACACACCAACCGAAATAACGCAGATATGGTAAAACTAGTATTTAGAAAGAAATCCTTATTCGAAGTTATCAAAGTTCAAGTGAATCAGTGGTCAGACATTCCCGATAAATACGTCACGAAAGACTGAGAAGTCGAGATCTATGGACTTGTAGCGTTTAACTTCACGTGTTCTGCTGATGGATAAACTTTGTAAGTTTTGATTAATAGCGGAGGTAACCGGAGTCAGTGGAGCACCAAAAAACTCAACTGGTGTTGCTTTGAATGATCTATGAGAACACTGAGTGGCGTGAATACTTGGCGACGAGTAAGAACCACTTAGAACAGTGAGTGATGGGGCATGTGCTAGGCACGACTAGTCATCATCTACCGAGTGCGTTTCTGCGTTCTGACTTCTTGCTGGTGGTGGGCGGGGAATCGGCCGCGATTTGGCAGTGCGAAGTGGAGGTAGCTACTAGTAAACTGAGTGCTGCAAGATCTTCGTGCCCCTGATTTGGATCCACATTTTACGCGGGACTAGAATCCCTAAAGGACATCGCATGTATCTGTCCCGCGTCGAATATACTCTCATCTCCTGGTCGAATTGCCCACCTGAAGCTCGCGCACCATGTGTTGGACTAGTGTCGAGAATTTTGACGAGAACGCTGAGTTATTTCCACTGAATGCACCTCACTTTGAATTCGTTCACGCCGTTTTTGTTCCAGGGTTTAGGCACATTGGTCTTGATCGTCTCCATAAGAAAGTAAGGTCGTTTGTACTTGCTTTTCACTCATTCCTTATTAGGGCATTCTTCGTCATGATTCTATCACAACCGGACATCTGTATCTACTACTTATGTATCGCTACTGAGGACGGCTTGATAGGAGAGTCGAATGACGTGTGATGTCGGACAATGGCCTTAAAATTAGAGCGGCATAACGACCCCAGTCACGGCGACCTATTTAAACAGAATAAACTCGGGTCTAGTAGCTCAGCTCCGAGTAACAAATAAATTATCTGTCACGACAAAGTCGTGGCGTAATGTACATAAATAGACATCGGTTCAAATCTTACGAATATGCCAGCCGAGCTCTATATATACGACAGTGGTTCAGCTATTTGTGCACCTATCGGCGAATTGTGATCTCAGAGCTTCTGTTTGAATTGCCGATAGTGTCTGCTTCAAGTGACGCATATACGACCACTTCCTACCTACTCTCCCAATAGGCAAACATCAAAACAACTGATGACTGTTAACAGATGCTTCGTTAGAGCACGGAGGCGATAGGAAAAGTAAATACAAATCGACAGTGAGGTGATAATAAAAAGTGCAGCAACACGATTCTGTAAGTGAATACGAAGTGCAGGAGGCAGCAGAATCCAAAGTGAAGTGGGCTACGTTTAGCGACGCTGTCTCGAGGTCAGACAGAAGAACATGCGAGAGATGGCGAAAGGTACAACTGGAGATTCGCTGATAAGTGAGACCGCTGTCGGCCTACAGTTTTATCGTACAATGTGCACTTGAACGACATGCGTACAGAACATTGGTACAAGAGAATCGGGTAACGGAGTGTGGAAAAAATACGGCACCAGACCAGACAGATGGGTGCGAATTGGTGACAGCACCGATTGTAGGGACCGGAGAAATGCTACAGGAGTCCAGTAAAGGGAGAAATCGAGAATAGCAGCTATTAAAGGTGGAAATGAGTTTGAATATAACATGAGTTAAAAACACATGGTACATCTATCTCTCTTGCAAAGACACGAATTCGGCACCAGCAGTAGCTAATGGACGTCTGCGTTAGTGTTGAGTATTGCTACTACATTTCTTTAACGGAACTGAGCGGACTGAGACTGTGAGTAAAATGATTCATCAGGAGAAGCGTAAACCTACTATTTTAGCGGCAAATGATTACCCACTCACCCTAATGATGGAATGATCATCTAAAAGCGAAAACTGCACGTCCTAGCCTGAGATGTGAGCCATTCGCCTTTTAGAAAAGCCGAAGTATTGTTGAATCGGATCTTTCGGTCGACTCGCTGAGTTAAAGATCAATGTCAAAATCACTGACAACAAGACATCACTCAACGTTGAGCTCGGCTTGGTTGATATTTTTGCCCGAAAAGTGTGTCAAGCACCATCTGTTGGAATCAGTCACAGACGCAATACAAGCACTTTTGTCAAGCTCCCACCGTTAATATTTGTTGTTAATGTGGTATAAGAGTACTCGTGTTCGTGTTTGTGTTGGTGGAACGAAGGCTGAATACGTACTGGGTTTCGAAAATGCCATTATTGATGCTCCATGCATGACGTCACATCTCCAACACGACACAAATCAGCCAGATGAACCGTCAGACGTCAGGGATCCAGGCTACAGTGAGGACTGTGTTGTTGTATGGATGAGAGACATGGCCTCTACGGACAGATGATGTGAGACGTCTTCACGTTTTTGACCACCGATACCTCAGAAGCGTGACTGGTTTCGGACAGCGTCAGTGTATTAGTAACGAAGTGATTAGAAGACTGGTATTTGGTTGTGCGGAAAGTACTTCAATCGGGGAAAACATGGTTATAAGACAGGTGCTAACCAGGTTCTACTGCTGGTACACTTTTGACCATGAGGACGATAAGAGCGATTATTATTACGGTGCCCAGAGCGTACGATACGGTTCCAATCAGTCACTCCTCCCAAGAAGGGATGCCTTGAAATTTCACAAAAGCTTCTTAAGGTAAAAGACATTATTTGGGTGCAGTGCTGGTTGTCTATTTTGAGGACGAAACATTTTTCAATGAGAAATAAAACCATGTGTTGCGGCCACGATCCCACCGTGTGATACGAGTTGCGAGTAGCACAACATTCGCACAGTTCGAAATAGCAGGTTCGACGTTAGCTGACTGTGGTGTTCGAATATGCTGATTTGCTCCACTGCCCCTTTCGCTNGCCATACAAATGACGCTCAGGAATGCCCGGAAATAGGTTAGGCTGCATAGAGTTTGAAAGCTTGTACTGATGTGCTTTGCTATCACGCTAATCCTGTTGGCAACAAGGAAATCCGCGCCCAACCAATTTACTATTGTATCCGTAGAACATACGGGAAACGAGATGCTGCCAGATTGAATAAACACCCTATTTGTGAAGGCTTCACAGGGAAGGAATTAACGAGAGCCTCCAAAACTTTCGTGTCAACGCACTTCGCATCTCTGGAAGCATACCCGATTACCGTCTCGAATGAGGGCCAGGAACTACCCGCATTGTGTGACGAGGAGGTAACAATTACCTCGAAACGGGCTTGAAAGGCATGTTCGTCTTAGAATCAAAGCTTACGTCGTGACGTGAGGAGGAAAACCACGCACTCTAAGCAGGAGCAGTGTGGAATGGGCCCAGTATTTGGTGTTGCGGCTACACGCCTACGGGTTTGCACTCACTGACCAGGGGAATTTTCAGAGGAATTCATACTCTCATTCTCACATTGGAGTAGGATAAATGGTTGCGTGTTTACGAGGCTAGTAATAGGAAGTTGATTGGTTTCAACGAAATGCTGGAGATATGGTGAGGATGGTGAAGGCTACTTCGCATGGCTAGTAACATGATGTTTATGGAGTGTTCTAATCAGGAATCCGTCTAAAATGGACTTTTAATCCCGTTCTTTTGTCAATTAGTAGACAGTACGCTATAACAATGATTACATAGTGCACAAAAAATGTAAGCTCACCAAGATTCTGTGACCCCAAGACCGCGCTACGAGTAACTTTCACCATCGTTTGAATCAGTGGCGAAGCTGGAAATGGGAAAATGGTTGAGCAGTGCACTGTCCATTCCAAACATTTCGATCGCCCGGGCTGCAGCTTCAGCGGCTGCACCAGGAGGGCCGGCAGCGCAGTTGAACGCAGCTGGTAGATCGCTACCCACCGCTGCATCTGCCATCACGGGTGGATGATTTTGATTTCGAGCAGCTGCAGCTTGTCTAGCAGCCCTGTCAGCGGGACTCAATAAAGCATCTCCGAACATAGTGCTGACACGACCACGAGGTTTCAATTCAAGGTACTAAAAGTTCAAACATAACACGAAAGGGTTATGTGATCACCGAATTGAAAAACACAGTAGAGGTAAAGCACTCCTGAAGTCAGTAAAGTAACCCACTAACTACCCCCGTCCAGTGGGGAGACTTAATGCCGGATCACGCGAACAAACTCTGGCAGATTTCTCCTTCTGAACTAAGGGTGACGCAGCAGAAAAAAGGCAAGCGTTTGTATGTTGACTGGAGACTGCAACACAAACATCGTCACAAATCCTAGCGCACTAAAATTGTGTCGCTTTCGTCCGGCTCAACTCTACTAGCAAAGACATGATGGAACCTGAAAGCACATGAAATGCGGGTCGTTCAGCTGTAGCACCCTTTCGGTGCCTATCTGCCAAAGGTTGCACGAGAGCTGGGATACTATCAGGTTGCCCAAGCCTAGACAGGGGAAGTCGAGAGGCAGAGGGCGAGTTCGAACCACGGACCTTCCGATCAGTAGATTCACGCTCTAACCACTTCGGCCATCTGGCCCCGAACGCGGGTAGTTAGCGAGCTTAGCGAACGAATCAACGGTCCCCTGAACGCTTGGGGAACAGGTCTACCTGATGAGTCCCCAAAAGGGTGACGTCAGGAGTGGGCTCTCCAAGGTTTTTATCAACCTTGTGAGTAAGGTTGTACCAAGAAAGCTTCACACAACCTGTCTTAAATAAAGTAGCAAAATTAATTCCCTTTTGCGCATATGTTTTCCAACTACAAAATGACGTTTTCTTTCAACACTTTTACAACTCATTATGTTTCTTCGGAACTTTGAAATGAAGGGTTTGCGGTTGGTGATCCGTTTACGTATCCTGGCAACTGCCACCTGCTGTGGTAGGGTAGTTCAATGAACACCCAATGAGTGGTTGACTTGCATCCATTATGGTATCGAAAACGAATTTCAATGAAGCTAATGGACAGCGTATTCAAAGCAACAGTAAGTCATTAAGAGATATGGAACTCGGCTTCTCACGAATTAATTAAACGCCTTCAGATTTTCAATCACCGATACCTTCGTAGCACAGCGCGAGTTAGCCGGTTGCAACGCGTCTACTATGAAGTGGCGCGTGAACGAACACTTGACTGTAAATCGGAAGTGGTGGAGTAGGAAATAGAGATAATCCAGGTACAGTGATTGAAACGGAAACTGGGCATGCTCAACCAGTGTCTACGAAAGGAAGTGCAAATTCCCGTACCAAGCCCTTGTTGTCAAAAAGTTTTTGGAGGACACACAATGACAAGGCAATGCGAAATGAAATTATCTTCACCCAACCTGATTAAGACCCTCGTATCTTCGTGGCTGAGGCCCACGTGATTAAGTGACAGGCGGATGAAAAATCCTACATGACGTGGCATGTAACCGAACGCTATGAGCATGCCCTCACTTCCTAGCTGAACTGCCTAGTTAGGCTGCACTTGACTTGTGTTCGATAGGGTTCGCAAAGGACTCCGGTTGGATCTCCCGGATGGTGTCTTGCTCTGGCATGATGATTAGGTGAGTCTATTTGATTGCTGTTGCCTTGCACAAGGCCATTTACCCTAGGGACAACAGGTATTAAAGCCCCACCCTTTGTTCCCACTGTTTACTATGACGTTCATTACCCATGGTTGTGTACCAATGTACATTGCTGTCGATGATGAGGACTCAAAACTCTGGATGCGTGTGGGGATGTTGCGGTAGAGTTGAACTCCGGCTGAAAGGTAGATGCACACGAATAGGTAACTAAAGACTTCGAATAACGATGACCGAGAGAACAAGCGGAGTGTACACTAATATAAAACTGGGTGGTCCAGTCAGCATCCGACAGCCGTGCCATAGTGATCAAACCAGTAATTTATATGGGAGTGATAAAACACAACAACATACATTGCCTTCCTCATCTCGGTGCTTCTCGTGGAACTTCAAATGGACGTTAAGGTTGGACTTTTTGTTAAATCGCTTTTGGCAAATGTGACATTCAAACGGCTGTTCTCCTAGATGAATTCGGAAGTGTTCATTGTAGTAGGCAGCTTTAGTGAACCGTTTGCCACAGTATTCGCACTCGAACCGAGCCTCCTTGTGAATTAACATGTGCATTCCGATTTGAGTGACAATCTGTGAACAGAGACGGAACGAGGACAGTGATGAGGACGAGTAGATAACGGACAGACGTTTAAACATCATGGCAGGGTGACACTGACAAGTTTTGCGCTGGTCCCATCCTATCGTTCCCGAAAGAGGCTCAATTTTAATATGACATGGTTCATATAATTGCACGTACATGACTTTGATGACAGCGTTATTTGGATGCTACTCAGTTTCTACTGATGTGTGTATGGATCACCTACGTAAACATTAAAATATGCTACATTTGGACTACTGTGGGTTGTGAATGTAACTCGGTAAAATCTAGTAAAGGAAAGCCTAACATCCCACACTATCACTGTAAAAGTCCGAAGCAATCTAATAAGGTTCTCAGGAACCAGTGATGACCGCACCCAATGAGCGCATGCCAAGGAGGAGGTATGAGGGAAATCATGAAAATACTGGGTGTTGTTGGTATCATTAACCTTTCTGGATGGCTTTTCTTACGTCTGGCTGGAGGTTCCTCAGCGTCAAAGCACTAAGTGATCAACGGTGTTCATGATACCTGCAGCCGGATCGTTTGACTGTGATGAAGGAGCTGTGATTCCATACTGGAAAGATCACCCAGAAATAAGGTGGAATGGTTTTATTGATGAAGAGAACTTCCTAAAAGACAAAAGGTTCTCTTGACCATCAGTCGGAAGCACCTTTTTATCCATAATCAGAGCTTTTTATTGCTTTGTTTCGCCATAACTTGGGTTTGTTCGAATAGTCTAAACTGCATAGAGTTTGCCAAATCTGGTTGACTGCAGGCATTTCCAAGGGTCAAATGATATGGAACGCTCAGGTCGGCCGAACCTTCTTACAATTCCTGACAGCTTTCATTCTTAGAATGTTGTCACTGAGCCCTATTGATTTCGAAACCATCCACTGGTTTCCCACAGGTATCTACTGTGAATGAATATAGTAAATAATTCAACTCAAATCGCTGTTTCATATCTCATCTTGGACTGTCAGTGCTCAATATAGGTCACTCTGCTTAGTCCTTTTTATGTTACATGGTAAGGCGAACAGAACTCATTAAACTGGAATAAAAGTGAAGCGCCTGCAGGAAGGCGATACTTAATCCAAGTCTAGCCCAGACGGAACAGGTTGTACTACATACTGGGAGTGTCAGACACTATAAACTCATCAATCCCTGAGATTATCGCTATTCGTCTATTGGGCCAGCTCAATACTAGGGCTACTCTGACATTCTGATCATTTAGCCAACCTGGACGACGTAAACCTTCCCTTTCGTGGACCGTTAACGCACCCAAGTAATCCTTTCCAAAGATTTAACAGTGGAGATTCAAAGCCGGAAAAAATCGAGATCCAACTGAGAATCTCTCGCTAGATGCCATCATTTTCTTGAATGTTCATTTCAAAATCGAGATCCAACTGAGAATCTCTCGCTAGATGACAACATTATCTTGAAATGTTCATTTCCAAACTAGTGTTTTCATAAACATACAGGAGTAACGCATCTGTGACGATGAAGAAGAGGTGATGGCGAGGCAGACACAGTAACCAGTGATTGCTTTAGCCTACCGGACAGTACATCTAACAGTGATCCACTCACCTTTCCACAAATCTGGCATTCAAACTTTTCCGGACCCAATTGTAAGTGTTCCACACGAATGTGCCGCTTCATTGCCAGTTTGCTCTTGAATGTAGTCTGGCAATCTGTACATTGATAGATTCTGGTACGGAAGTGTTTCTGGCGATGCTGTGCGTAGCACCGCAAGTTGTTGCAGACTTTGTGGCAGATTTCACAACGTACTGCTCCACTGTGCATCTCCTTCACATGCCGCCGCAATTCGTTCTCCACACGGAATCGTCGTTGACACATGGTGCATTCGTGTGCCAGTTCCTGTTAAGAAGTGAGGAATGATGCGAAGAATGGAAAGAACGAAATGTGACTGAGCGAGCAGGAAGAAAAACAGGCGTCTATGATCGGCCACCTAGTCGAAGTGCAGAGCAACTAAAATCTAAACTGTTTAGCTGCAGCGGTATTCCGGCACAGCCATAATTCAGTCTATGAGAAGTGCAAAAATCGGAGTCGCCAACCATGATAGCAGCAATAAGGTGCTATGGGCGCTCAGGGGCACACATTTTAACTTGTTCAGCATTTTGAACTAACCGCACGATCCGTAACCGGGAAGGATTTCTCTCTAGGGAGTACAGCGTGCGGGATTGAGGTCCAAGGTTCACAACTATCTGAGAATCATGCAGTCCGGACGCACAGTGTTATTAGTGGAAATGTGGCGGACTCGTTCGCGAAGCAGCACAACCATGCTGTGAAAAAAACGGTTGACAATCAAGCGGCCTAAGAAATGTGCCTCAGGTCGTATACATAGTTGCCATGTAACAGGCTGAAAACTTTTAGAAAAATCATGCGTGAAAATCCTCAACTAGTAGGAAATTATATACGGATTGAGATAACGATCGCTTATGCTGGATGTACCAGCGTCCGAAGGAGGTGTGTGCAATTAGTAATTAATAAAAATGCATGTTTCATGTGCTAGTTAACAGAGAATAAATCACGTTTGCCAGTGACGTGGATAGGTTTTCACTGTTTTGTTAGATTTGATCAAGCGTCTCAGTGGGCAGTTGCTTTGCTCATCAGAACACTATAGCGTGACTCACGCGATGGTCACTGACTACATATGCATGCCCATATAGCACCCTTTCACAACATAATCCACATGCAAATCACGGAAGCACGAAACCGGACAGCAGCGACCAGTAAACTCTTCGGCTGAGAAGCTTCAACTTTGATTTCAGCATCATCTTGAGATCAGTGCCTTGGCAAACTTCATTCCGTGAGCTTACCTTAACTAGACATAACAGCGTGTTACGATGGTTTTGATGAAAGAAAACAAGTCCGCTTAAGTGTAGTGAACGTACCCTTCAGCGCATATCAGCCAGCACATGAACAAGGGATAGTAATCTTCCCAGGAAGGTTTATCGTCGTCCTGTTCGGAAAATTCACATGAGTACAGGTTGTGCACTTAAAACACAGTCGGCTAGGAGCAAATAGAGCACCAATATGGGGTGGTTTCGGCAACACCGTGCGACACTACACGACCTCTGCACAAGCCTCAGTGTAAGGGATTCAAAAGTACCCCTGTAAGCAGAACGATTATTATTCTTCAAACCACCATGAGGTGCACTGAGGTTTGGTATTCAACATAATATGGAACAATGACATGGAGTGAAATTGCTCACCTGATTATGCATACGATATATATGATACCGCAGCGAAGCCCGCCTCGGATAGGTCATCCCGCAATATTCACAGGTGGCCGGTCCCTGATCATCTCCGTGATGTGTCCTTATATGATGAAGTAATGAAGCGCGTAGCCTGAAAGCACGACCACACTCAACGCAGCGCTGTGAATAGCCTTCATTGTGTTTGTCCATATGCGTGCGCCAACAACGCTTGTCCGTGAATCGTTCATAGCAGTGCGGGCATTCATACATGGCCGGATTGATATCGCCATGAGCCTCTCGAGCATGTTTTACCATTCCCTTGGAAAACCCCCAGAATTCGCATTGGCTGCAGCGGAATACGGTTTGCACACCAGCGTTAGCAAACTCTCCAGAGGGCGCATGAGTTTCCCCCAGATGAACTGACAAATGTTCTGGTGTTTCAAACAGTTCAGCGCAAATACGACAGATAACTTCTGCATTTGCAAACACACCATGCTTCTCACTCAGATGTGCTATGTACTCTTTGCCTGTGACGCGCACTACTAAGCCGCAGAATTTACATTTTATCCGTCTCACGCCAGTGAGTGAATACTGGAGCTCCTCTCGATCGTTCGTCTGCCGCAGCTGGCGCGGTTGTTGCACAACATCTGTCGAACCCAGAGACGGATGCACAACACCGTGTTCAGACCATTGGTGGTAGTAGTAGTTGTATTTGGTGCCGCAGAAATGTTGGCAAAGGTCACATCTCATTAGTTTTTGCAGCAAAGTCTTGTTGTGCAAACCCGTAGTTGCGGTGTCTACCTCAGCTTCATCTGTAACTGCTTCGGGTTTGACAAACGGAGTGCTCGGAACTGCTTCCGACTCAGCAGCCATATGTTTTTTGTAATGACAAGATAATTCTTCAAGAGAGCGGAGGACGGAATTGCACATGATACACTGGAGGTGATAAGAGCTGAAGTGACGTAAAATTTTCTCCCTGCTGCTCAACTGAGCACCACACATTCCACAAACACATGACCCAATTTTCAGTTCTCCAGTTTCGTCGGCTTGTGTATTTTCATCGGCGTCTACTTCAGGCATTGCACTGGATTCATCGACCGGAGGCTTTTGCGTGCGAGGGATAGGCGTGCGCACACTGAAGCTGACACCATCGCAAAAATCTAGATGCTGTGTTAGTACATCCGCATTTAAAAAGTAGTCACCACATTTTTCACACTGAGGTGCCTCCATTCGTCCTACCAGCACACCGGTGCTGAACACCTGTGTCAAACCTGCAAGTAGGCCGCTTCCGGGGACATCTTCATCCTCCTCTTCTGGTTCGCTACCTGAATCTGCCTGCGCTGCGTGTCCAATGCGCGGAAGTGCGGCCGCCATAGAGGGAGTGCGAGTAGTTGAGTGCATTTCATTCATATGTATCTGCCACTGACGACGATCCAAGAAACTGGTGTTGTGTGGGACACAACGGAAGCGTGATAGTCCAATGTGACGCATTTCGTGGTCTAATAAGCCATTAACGGAACGTAGTTCTTTGGAACACATACAACAGACGCCCCAATGTTCCGGAAGTGGTACGGGAGCAGGCGGAGGAGCGTGTGGATTAGCAGCTGCTTCAGCATACGCAGCAGCTTCGGCCGCTTCAATATGTTGCCGTGCCAAAAGTTCTGGCATATGTTTTTGTCCAAGGCGGAACATGATGTCATACAAACTCACACGTATGGGTAGATCATAGAGAAGGTTGCAGACGTGATCCGAAAATCCGGATAGAACACTGTTGTATCGTTTTCGATCGTACTGAGGGTAATAGAAGGCGGGTAAAACGGTTGAACTGTTGGTTTCATCATTCACAATCTGAACACTGGCGGGACATGAGTTGGACTCTCCTACAACAGACTGTGCGCACACTGATGGGCGGCGAGAGTGAGGGAAGACCGGATCAGAGCGAGCGGGTATTATCTCCAGTATACGACGAACGATTCGAAGATCGTCAATTTGTACAGCATACAGCAGGCCACCGATGGTGACTAAACGATAATCAGGGGTTGTGGGTTTGAAAGCAGACTCGGTGTTTTTCAGTTCAGCTGGTGTAAGTTGATCAAACTGTTTACTGGCTTCTACACCAAAAGGGTGCACACTATATTCATCAGAAAATACTTGAAGGGCAAGCCGGACGGGTGAATCGAAGACAAGAGCCAAAGGAACACGTCGAACCCTGTCCAAAACAACAAACTTTGTACACTGTACCACAGGTAGCGGCGCAACGAAAACGTCTGACTTTGAGTTCAAAACAGTTGTCGGAGCACCCGTGCATCTTATCAACTCCCGAAGCATCACTTTGCGCAGAGTATCATAGAGTAGATCCGGTACGACCAGAAGCGACTGATCGTCTAATAAATCTTCTGGATCCGCTGTGTGTACACCCTCCAATTCTACAGGCACGTCAGGAGCAAAACCATGTCTTTCCAACAAAAAATGACCCTCCTCCAACAGTGAATATACAATAAACGCCTCAGATTCGTCCACATGCGAATTGAGTGGAGGGTAACAATTCGCCTTATGCGCAACCAAAAGTAGATGGTCACGACGGCCATTAGGTTTGAGAAGAAAGGCGTCAATAAAATGAATCTGGCCTAAGTTTGACACAGCCGATCGACCAAAGCGTTTACCGAACGGATTATCCACACTGGCATCCATGATGGCACAGTTTATAACACTGTTTAAGACATCTGCTACTTCATTCTGAATAGTATCGCATTTAGAACCATTGATCCCTTCAGAATCGCTCACATCCGAGGGACTGACCTTGGTCAAATTAAGGACAGTTTCTTTAACACTGACAGCAATGTCCTCTTCATTCCAGCTGTCCAAGAGAGCCATCCCAAGCAATACTTCTTCAGAATTTAGAATAAGCATTAGACGCTGGAGGTCGGGAGGTTCGATGGGACTGATGTCAATATCCGATTCGTCAGTTTGCTGATGCACTCTTGATAATGCCACTTCATACACTCGCTCAGGTGGAAGAGAAATGAGATCGTTCAGTTTGTTGAACAGTTCAGTGGGTACAACCAATTGTTTTATGTCCGGCATGAAGCGTCCGATGTTCCCGGATCCGGTGATCAGATTGTATTGTGAAGGGGATACGCCAAAATCACCAAGAGCCGAATTTGTCAACGCCAATAAATTGATGTCTGGATCCAAGGGATAAACTGGCTTAATAACCATCTCCTGATCGATACTTGCTGCTAGTTCGGTCAATGCAGTGTTCATCATTGGAAGGTAATTAAGACCTAAGAGTGGTTGGTGAACGACCGGAGCCAAGCAAGCGACTCGATGACGCATTTTATTCAAAGGACGTGCGACACACGCATGCACCAATTCTACGACTTTGTCGTAATCGTTTATGCGGCTCATTAGACTTTGAAGACTAGCAGAAACGCCATAGAACAGATTAGCATGCTGTGAACTAGGTTTGCATAGTTCAGCAATTAGACGGTCGAAATCCTGATTTAAAACCGTGGATTTGAGAAAGTCGGAGTACGCATCCAGATCGGCGCGTGTTCGCAAGGATGCAGCAAGGGCACTGTAAATGTTAGAACCCCAACTTGGAGCCGCCCCAGTTGCGTTACGACGATTAACTCGACGAGTTGTTTGTCCAGAAGCACGCCCACCTGCGGTGCCCGCTCCAGCTCCACCAGAAACAGCACCTGTAGTTCGTTTTTTGCTGGCATTAAGAACTCGATTAGATAGGAGGCTTTGGGCGTCAAAGTCGTAAACATCACGCTGAACTTGATTACCTTCATTCACAAAGAGGGCCCCTGTTGTACCATTCGTAGCAGGCTGATCAATCAACTCCTCCCTTTCTGCCGTTAAATCTTCCTCTTCCTCATCGTCCTCGTCAAATTCACTTTCAGATTCACCAGCTTCATCTTCATCGGTAGAGCCATCCGGTTGTGATTCGGCTGTCTTGCTTCTAGTCTGCCGACGTGTCCCGGCCGCAGCCCCACGACGCCGACCCGCAGCGGAAGAAACATGAGCCATCTCTTCATCTGAAGGTGCATATTCACTGTCGTCATCACCGGCATCGATGTCTTCGTCCTGGTCTTCATCGTCTCCGGGAAAAAGATCCGTATAGGAGTAGGAATCTGGCTCAGGAGTACCAGCTACACCAGCCTTAACTGATGATTTTCTGTTGGATGCGACCGCACGGGAAACACAATCCGAACCATTTGGAGTATCGAGCTTCGCGTTTGTCTTTTTTTTACGTCCACGCTTAGACCCAGGAGTGTTGTCCACATCAGCTGGTGTGGATCCTTTGTCAGTAGCGATGGATTTTCTACCTCGTTTGGCACGTTGTTGCGACGACTCATTTCCTTCGTTTTCCTTCGGCTGTGCCGGTGGGCGCCCACGCTTCCGCTTGGGCGTAGGTATGGGAGCCTCCGGGGCGACTTCTGGAACAGCGCATTCACTAGTCACAGTATCTTCCTTCTTCATCTGGCTAAAAACAGAAAGTAAGGTATGGTGAGCAACACGTCAACGTCAAAATCGCAATATGTAAAGAGAACTGCTCTTTGGTGAGGCCATGGAATCATGCAAAGTAATGTACGTTGGCGTAAACACGGCTCGCTACTTGAAATCAGACAGATTATTCCGATAGTCAAATGCCACTTAAACACGCGATGGTGCATTGGAGTTAAGGGTTGCGCAGATCGGTCTGCTAGAAACGCTAGGTTGAGGGGGGAGACAGCTGAGGCGAAGTCACGATTCTAGGCAAAAGCATTTGCATCTCTTACCCACTATTTCTGTCCCGTTTGGTTGTCTTCCTTCTTGCATCCTCTCATAGGAAGCCCTACCCTACATCACCTCCCCAAGGGGAAAGTCCGTGATGAAGGAAACAGTAAGGAAAATTCTCCCATAATAAGCACATTCACAAAGCCAAAGGTGCTTTTGTGATGAAACATAAGCCCTCACGCGCCCAGTGGTGTTGAGATGTAAGGATTGAAACGCGATGAAGATCTCCGGCAAAACTGTCGACATACGGGAACATGAGTGATTGAGTCAAATGCTGGCTTCAGATCTGAAAGGATGATCGTTATATTCTGTAAGTGGGTGCTCGGTTTTAACGGCACCGTTCTTCAGGAGTCTTGGTTTGTGTTTGGTGATTCCCAAGACGGTGTGCCAACCCAGCACCGCATAGATGGCAATTTATTCAGATCGAAGCGTCCCACGGCGAAAACAAACCTGCAGCAACCAAAAATGGCTACTCCATGTTTTGCGTTTCGCTGCGCTCTACCCACACATTCAGGGCAGTACAGTATTTGCCTCGTAAGAATTTTGTTTCAGGAAAAAATAACAACGCTCCGTAAACGTTTACCTTTCATTAACTGGGGTTTACAGACTCGACTGTGGTAGCGTCATGCGACCTCTTTACCTCGGAAACACCGTTCCCAAATACTTAACAATTGATACTGAACTACACGCTCGGGAGGCACATATAAAAGTTTACCACAACCACATCATGCGCGTAGACACCTAGGGCCTAAAGTATCGAGCTGCTGTATTGCCCTTACTATTGTATGGCGGCGAGAAACATGCCATATCGACAGGACATTAGAGTGCCACAGGAATTTCACTGAAAACGCCTGCACAGTTCTTCGGATTTATGATTAGTTCGAATTCCGACCGCAAACGCACCAAGATCTATGGGAGTCAGTGGGCACTGGCACCCAGTCAGCAAAGTAAAACGAACGGACGATAACCGTAGCTCGAAGCTCCCTTACGTGCAACGGAAAAGACAGATCGAACTCGAGAACAGCTGAAACCCCACTACTGCGACAGACCCTGGGTAAATTTGGAAGACTATAATCTCGGCTCCAGAGGTTGGGCAAATTTAACATTCGACGGGGTAGCTTGGTTAACTGCTGTCTGCACAACCTCGATGACCTTCGAAGCCCAGCCTGAAGGTGTAGGCACTTCACAATGTTTGCGATAGGCCAGCCACAGATCTCCTCCCTCACCCACTCGTTTCTTTTCACTCTAAGGCACTAAGTATGGTGAAATTAGCTGTACGGCAGTGAAGCGACAGTATCAACACTGACATTGCTGTCTCTGATGTTGAGATCCCAATACTCGGAAACAAGCGTCATTCGAAACGGCCGTAAAATATCAAGTACAACCACAGCCACAAAGATCTGTGCAGCTGGGTAGGATCAAATTCACCGGTCATATCCGCACTCACCACTGCGGACGCATCAGTTGGCTGGGAAGGTTTCTACCATTTCTCATTAACATCCACCACAGGTATATCTGCTCTGGTTTCTAATCGACACTTACATTCTGTTGTTGTACTACGAGAAGACAATACCAGCAGTCATCCGAATACCAATTTATGGCCTGGTTATCCATCCCCACTCAGTGGTTAAGGCGCCAGTCTACCGACCAGAGGGTCCACGGTTCGAATCCAACATCTCCACCCAGACTTCCTATCTCTGGGCTCGAGAAATCTGTAAATATCCCAGCCTTCGTGCTTCCTTCGGGTTGCATGGAAGCTGGGCACCGAAAAAATGTTCCAACTGAACGATTATATTATTCATCCAACCCAAAAAAATAGCGCGACAATGAGCACCCCCCGGAAAACAGTTGATTTATCGATAGGCAAGGTGCAGGATCTCGCGTGAACTTGAAAGAAATGACAGGACGTCCGCGTGTTGGTGTAAAAGAAATAATGCACTAAGTCTCCTCCCCATCCATTTTACTCTTTCGTTTACAATAAGAGTTCCAAATAAACAATGGTTGTACGGCAGCGAGGCACGAGTGTTGAACACTGATGTCATGCTATCGACCATGATGAATTCAGCAGACACTTCTACCAGAGCTAATACAATTACGGAGGTAAGCAAAATCCTCCACAACTTCCTTGAAGTACATGAGCCACGTTCACAGACCGCGCGTTTTAAAGCATGCCTGAACTTTGAAGGTTCAAGATGCATGCATAAATCGTTCAACTGCGGCATCCTTCCAGTACCTGGTTGCCATGCCACCCGAAAGAAGCACAAAAATTGAGATACTGCCCTGTGGTACAAGCCTAAAGAGAAGTACTTGAGATACAGAAGTTAGCTTCGAGTACCACTGAGCAACCTTTCAAGAAAGCAGGATGGCAGTAAATTTATTAAACAAAGCTTCCGCCTCAGCTTCATCTTCAAAGGTGAGGACCACATCGTCTGCGCACCTCAGATCGATAAGGTCCTCACCAGCAACCGATTTGAATACCGCAATTACGAAAATCTTCCAGCGTTTGTCTCATTAGTTAATCAATGACGGAACTGAGAAAGAATGGCACTTTTGTAAAGAAGCATTTATAGAGATCACCATACACACGCCCAGAAGTAGGTGAACATAGGGACCTGACTACGTCCACAAAGATCTGGGGCATGTTCCGTTGAGTGAGAGTGGGTAAGGGCACCGACCAGTTGACAGAATCGAACGCACCCTTGAAGTCAGGGAACACGAAGATTATAGTGTTGCTCTAATACCTGACGGAATGCGAACATGTGAACGACGCAACCTCTGTCCGATCGAAATTCCGCCTGTTGCTCATTGGTCACGGCTTCGCTGCTGCCGTANATGAAGAATCAGGAATGCCAGAAACTCTGTTACGACGAGCCAAACTGGCACACCTGTGGTCACTACGTTTACTTCCAGTATCCTCTCTGAAGATGGGCACTATTGTCGAGTTAACCCAGGAGCGAGTCTCCGTAATATGAGGGGGTCTGTGAGTAGAGCTGTACTGTCCTCTGCAATAGAATTGTGAAGGCAATAACGCAGTGCCTCCTGGAAGCCGGCATGGATATATTCAAAGATGCGGCGGTTTTGCTCTCACAGGAAAACGAATGGCTCGGAAAAAGTCAGCTATAAAGATCGTACAGTTACGACCTACCAAAAGTCCCATGCGGCTCCAAATGCATCTGCTGTGAACAGTAGCATCAGGAATGACGATTATGCCTTACCCCTTGCAACCTCGGGTTAGGCCAGCCCTCCTCAGCTAAGTGGGTCAAGCTACATCTATTGGTTATGGGAAAGGTGGCCCAAGAGAATTCTCGTGCCGTGTCTTGTAAGTCAGATATGCAAAAATATCATCTATCTAGACAACCAGACCCTTGAAGCATTTGGTCCACCGGCCCTCATCCGCAGCACCATCTCCACCACGAAAATGGTGTCTTTAAGTGAAACATGCCTGTAGTTTGTCCAGAGCTATTCGGGGTCCCAGAATTCAATTGCGGCGCGAAATACAGCCGTTTTATTAAACCTGGCCGCTATTCGCCACTAGGATTCAACCGTGATGAGTTGGAATACTCGCACAACTCAGTAAGTGATGATGCAGTCAGCAGCAGCTGCTGCACCGCAAGCTTGACGTAGTGGTTGTAGCGTCCACCAATGGTTTGGAGGCTGAGCATTAGAGGCAGGAGCTGCTATATTGATGCACAGATACAGTTCTGTCAGTGGACTTCTAAGTGGGGAGGCTATGTATTGAAGGCAATAGCTTGGATGCAGGAGCACCGATAAGGGTGCGACCGGACCATGTCTGACAATGTCTCTAACAATTGATGCAACCCGTCTCCGGGTCCCCATCCAGGGAGACGGTAGTGACCAGCGGAGCTGAGTTTGCCCGTAATTGCTTTCACACTTCGCTGCTACGCCATTCGTTTACCTCCCTGGCTTGTTTCCACTCTTCGTGTGGTTGTGCTAAAATAACCGTTCGAGGAGCTTGGTAAACAATCGGTAGTTTTTTTTACCAAACTCTTCTGAAACGATGACTTCTCAATCGGTTCCAAACTTTTTCCAACTGATTGAAAACCATTCGAGGAATTCTGTCGACCGGCATACGGAATACGTGGCCAAGTCAGCGCAATCTATGCAGCGTGGTAAGTTCAGCTATTGTGGGCAAGTCACTTCTTCCGAAAGCTATTCGACGTACTTGAGCATTACTGATCCGGTGTTCCCATCAGATTCGGGGAATGTTCTGGCGAAATCCCAAACATAGAATGTTTGACGTTTTTTTAGCGCGTGCCGGCCAGATTTCCGACCCATATAATAAGATGGTGCGCACCGCAGCATTGAAAATTCGACCCGGATAAGCTCACACCTAAGCCACAGGTGATACAGGTTTACAAAAAGTGCTCTGGCTTTCCCGATCTAGATGGAATTACTACCTTTCGCAAGGCCACCGGGACAAACTTGTTCACCACCTCAATCGACTCATCTGTAGGCATGAGGCTAATCTTGTAGTAGCACTTTACGCTTTGCAGGTGTGAGGCGCATGCCAAATCATGAGGCAGGATTATTTGGATTTTATATTGTTTGCATTACTACGGAATCGGACCCAAGAGTTGTCGTCTGCATACTATACATATGTGAGCGAACGGCCCGAAAGAACCTCGACCCCACGGACTGATAGTCAGTTTTCCACAATCGTATCAGTGACGAATTTGAAAAGGAAAGGTGAAATAGGGCAGCCTTTTCTGAT